TTTGTCTTTACAATGATGTATGTAATTCATCAGCATCATGTTTAACAGTTCAGTTCATGATTTGGTAGTATGAATTTGAGATCAGGTTTGGGAAGGAGCAGGGAGATGAAGAAGAAGAGCAAGAGATTAAATGTTTAAACATTAAAGATTTCTGTTTACCTTTTGGAACATTTATCTCAGTCTTTTCTGAAGGCCTGAATCTGCAGGGCCACATTTTCCACCCAGAACCGAACCATTTGGACCACCCAGTATATACATTACAGTAGTCCCTCCATCTTGTGAGATGAAGGGGATTGAGGTCTACAATGTTTTCAGTTGTGTATCCTATATTCTGGAATAGCCATCTTCTTGAAGACAGACAATCACCCTCAAAATGGGCCTTCTGCAAATTATTCAGGAGCCAATTCATTGAGGAATGTTGCCATTAGCATGTATATGCTTGCTTTTTTTTTAATTCATTGGATTATTTAATCTATTTTTAATATATACTTCATTGTTTTAGAATTTGGGTTTTTTAAGTTTTATTGATGTAAACTGCCAGTAGCTGGTGTGGATTGTTGTAGCATTGTACAATATTATTATCATTATCATCATTATTACTCCCTTACCTTATTAGTAGTGATGAATTCTGATAAGAAGATAGAATCTGATATAATCTTTGTCCTGTGTATAGAACAACCATTCTTAAAGCAATGGAGCAGATTTTAGGAAGGGAATTAAGAGTAAAATAAGTGAATGTGTCATTAAAGTGCACCCCAAAGGTTTGGAATTTATCTATTTATGAAGACATTTTGATCTGTCATACTGAAGGTTCAATAAAAGGACTGTTTTTGGAAAGACTCTTGTGTACCTGACATCAAAGTCTCACTTGATGAAAGATGCATACTATCAGCCTTTGAACTCTTCTTCATCAATGAAATAGAAAGAATGTACAATATAATTCCATACTGTCAATATTTAATTTGATGTTTAAAAATGGAGTTGTGTTACTCTATGTACCCATAATTATTCTTTATCTCATTTTATTATTTCTATGTTATTGGTTGTTTGATGTTTGTTTGTTTTTCTTTTGTTTTATTTCTTTGTTATATTCAGTTTCCTTCCTGAGC